TCCTGCTGATTACAGAACCGGCTTTTTTAACAAAATGCGCATGACAAGCACATTCGATTAATCATGCAGCCCTAGTCCATGCTAAGAGAGATTTAACATGTTAAACAAGTAACAGACCACATGTTCTTTAGAAATACTGCTTATAGAAGTTGTCTGAATATCTACACTAAACCACTCAAAAGTAGTGCACTGAGTCTTAATATGTCAAAGAGCAATTTAAAACACAAAAATACACATCAAAGCAGTATTTCAAGGTGATAAATCAATGTAAAATCCAATCTTGAGGGGTTTAAAAGCACATTAAGCAGAATGCATAAGGTTTGGGATCACACAACAAGTGATGATAAAGGAAAATCTTTGCCAATTTTTTTTATTGTACAGACACCCAAAAACAAGGGTTTTAAAGAACTCCAAGGCAAACCGTTGGAAGGTTAACACTAAAAATACTATGAAATAGTTGAAACCCAAGATGACGAAAAATCACGGATGTTGAAACGAAGAGCGAATAAATGGGGACAGATCCAATGGCAATCAAGGCAAGGCATTTGAAGCGTCTTTTATTTATCTTACTCAGAAATAGTGTTGTCAAAAGACCCGGTATTTCGGTACCAAGTCGGCATTGGTTTTGTACATTTAATTTTTGTTTAACGTTATTAATAAAAATGTTGTTCAATTAGCATGTTTTTGTGTTTTGCTTTGGTACCGAAATTGGTACCAAGAACCGTGGATTTTCACTGGTATCGGTACCGAATACTGAAATTTTGGTACCGTGACAACACTACTCAGAAATTCAAGATGAACCAAGCAGCCTCAAATCAGATCTCCTGAATCAGACAATCAACAGGAAATCCACAAACCTTCTCTCTCGTTTACAGTAAACCAATGTGACAAACAGCTCAGAGGAGGAACTCTGACTGTTAAAGGACATTTTGCATAATATTCATCATGTTTTGCATTTTGAATAACAATCAGTCGTGTGCAATGTGGTTGAATGGCTGACAAAGCTGGGAAATCTGCTACTCGGAGCCAAAATGAATCAAGTCATTCCCTAATCAGTTTAGTAATCAAAGACAAACAAGACCCAGTTATATATACACATGAGCTTAACCTGTTTACCCTCCACCATTTTCGCTCCATACTGGCTTCATTCATGACCTGGTGAGTGATTGTGGCCCCAGAGGAAAGCAGCAGCGGTCTACACCGGGTTAAGGGCTGATTTCAGCTCTCGGCATCGTCTTAGTGCTACTTAATCAGGGTTGATGACTCTTTAAGACTCTTTCTATCTCTTTTCATTACTGCCCGCAGCAGTCGACCATCAAAACAGCATGCAGGACAGCATTCTGTGGGCCATTGCTAGCTAACACAGGACTAACCGCATCTCAACTCTCCTGCAAACATACTGGAAGTGCTCAGTTTCAGAGCCAAGGTGTTTCTTTAACTGAGCTGCATCGATACGGCGCAGACTGAGGCTCAGTTATCCACTCTATAGGTCAATAAATGCTTCATGGGGTTCGGACAACTAACAGTGTGTGATAGCTTCGTCTTCGTCCATGTCGATGAGTTTACAAACCTACCCAGGCAAGCGGCAAAAAACACCCTGTTTTCAGTAAAACATCTTTCAGTTGATCATATGCAAGAGAGTTAAACAAAGCACCGGTCCATGTTGGCCATGGGCCCCCAACATCCCTCTCCAACCAAACTGACATGCATCCAAACACAAGGTTACACCCCGACGGGGGTGACCTTCATAGAGACTTATTCTGGAACACCAGGTCCAGACAGCACTACATCAACCAGCCTCTGAGCGCAAAGGGGTTTGTGTTGCTGTCATTTCTCTGCGGCGGCGGAAAAGCGGAAGAAGGTGTCCGTACAGCACAGCACTTCATCAATATTATTATGCTGGTGACACATGCCAGAACTAGAAAAATCAGCCAGCTCATGTAGGTTGCTTTCTAATTGGACACTGTTATACATTGAGGCATTATAGGCTCTAAGATTTTCAAATACAGCAATAATGAAGACGATTACAACAGACGAAAGGAAACCGAGGATGCAGCCTTTGTCAATTATGCCTCAAAGCTATGGAACACACAATCAATAAATATTAAGGAAGATGCTATATTTTAAAAAGAAAGCTAAAAACGTATATATATTTTTTCGTTTTTAACTATAACTTTTTTTTTCTAGTGAATTATATGTATTGTTATCTTTTATTATTATTTTGTTTTAATTTCCATTTTTGTTATACGTTATGTATGTTCATTTTATTTTTATTATCATTAAAAAGTGGGTTAAGGCAGTTGCTCCCTAAATATTTTTAAAAGAAAACTAAAAAAATAATTACATTTTTATTTTAGCATTTAACTAGCAAATTATTTTTCTATGACAGGTTTTAATTTCCATTTTTTGCTATGCATTTTATGTATATTAATTTTATCTTTACTATCATTAAATAAAATAATATTTTATTGTCATTAAATAGTTATATTAACTAAATATAACTATGGTATTTTATTATCTTACTCAAAGAAATAGTTTATTGTCAACAATGTGCCATGTAGAAATCCACAACCTAAAAAGCAAATTAAGGGATGTGCCAGAAATATTTTTAAAATGATGAGCAGGTAAATGGGATGAAGGTATTTTGGTGATATATTTTAAAACAAAACAGTCTACAACATCAAAAACAAGATCATGTAGCCAAAATAAGCCAATGTTTGATAAGTATGGGTTTTTCAATGACTGATGAGAATACTGACCAAAAGAGCAGGTCAAGATAACGTTGACTACATAATGCAATTTAATGAAATAAAACACACAGAAGTGCAAAGTGTGAAAAGCTGTTGGTGAATTTGTGGCAAAGAGGTACCTGTTTTGTTTATTGGTTATGCATGCACAGATTTCAGTTAATTTTCCCCAATCTATCACTAAAAATACCCTTAAAAATGACTAATTCTGCGAGCAATGTACATTCCTCTGGAATTATTCTAGTCCTGCTTCGAAGCCAATTACTTCCAACATTGAAGTCAAAGGTCAAGTGCTTTCCCTAATTCTCTTAAATAAGCGATCAATGGAAACCACCACTTAAATTTAGGTTGATGAACGCCAGTTAACTAAAGCATCGAAATGATGCATGCCACAACAGTGTAAGGCTATTTAGGTGAGGAAAGCAAAGTTAAAGACTCCTAAACCATCTCCCCAACCCCCTCAACATGCACCCACGCCTCCAACATGACATTCTGAATCAGACCAGCAACTGTCAAACACACGCCTCCATCTGACCAGAACTGAGTCTTTAAGGAGACTTCTCGTTACTGCATCTCATACAAGTTTTGATCGAGTCGGAATGGATCACTCTTCCTCCTTCCCCATTCCATCAGTTTAACTTGTACCAAAAGTGGTGTCACCTGCTGGGAAATCAATGGAAATCAATATGAGCTGGAAGGATCATTACCAGTAATGGATTTAAGTATAGCTTTACCCCTAAGATAGCATGAATTCGATACTACATATTTACAACTATGACGTAGACTTATATAACACCCCGTCATGTTTTGAATGAGTGACGTTATGCTGTCGTCACAAGATGCCAATGCCAACGTAAAATACGTCATTGACAATGTTTCCCTAAAAAGCATTTGATTAAATATTACCCTTTATACTATTTTTAATAGCATATGTTATTAATATGTTAAACAAAATTGCTCAAAATGAACATACACCTTCATTAAACCCATATTGTATAAGCCCCTGAGGTAATTCAGATGACATTATTAGAAAGCAAAACACGACTGAATAAAGCACAAGACTCCCTCAGGATAAGACAATTACTCAGGCAAGCCATAAATAAGTAAAAATAATAAAACTAAACCTTGATTGCAGCCAGACTGCTGACTAATCCACAGTAAACCACACATAAACAGGTTAGCTAGCCAGGTTAGCTAGTTAGCTGGCTTTAAAGACCAGCATTAAACGGCCATTGTACAGGAATGCGAGATTGATTCCTTTTTACTTTTATTCCTTCATTTTACTTTTTATGTTGTCCATTCGCATACATCATTAAACAATCTTTCGGTTTCCATTCAACAGCCCTAACGTTACTGACCCAAGCAGGGTTTCAAACACAGACTGTCCGGCGCGAATTAACACGCAAAAACGGCCTAAATCTACTTTTTCTGTCCCATTTTGATGCTTTTCCCACTTTGCGATGAAATATCAGAGTGGGACAGGACAATATCCGGGATGGCTTTCTTACCCGTGGAGTTGAGATCCGTGTGAGCTTGTGTAAATGAGTGTGTGTTGCTCGTGTAATCTTAACAGCAGTAATAATATCCCAAAGCAGCCGCGCTCTCCCAATAGTCCTCGGCCATGATCCTCTACTCCTGCTGCTGCTGTTTGTCCAGTCTCCACTGCTGCTGGAGCGACTCCACTAGACCCCGCATGTCTCACCAATGCTCCTTCTCTCCTGCAATTGCTAAAACGTTACAGCAGCTGTTCCTTTCCTTGCCAAATCCGGACTGGAGTGGATCATGGAAGCGATAGAGCAGCTGCGAATAGATCCAGGAGTCACTCACTCATTGGATGGGTTGGGGAACGTGTCATTATGTCATTGAGCTAATTCTTGTGTAGTTAATACGTTTTTATAATATATCTATGTTTTATTATGATGTATCCCTGATTAGGTTGATTCTGTACATTATGCGTCCCTGCAGTCATGAAATTTGGATACGAAGTGAAAGCGTCCACCCCTAATAAATTAAACTGGCTCATAGTGGGCTGATCCGAGTTCCGTTCAAGCAAGTTAGACTGTACCATTCAGGCGGAATGCGCAGGGGAGATGCAGTAGCAGTGCAGTGTGCTGTAAGCTACTGTTTGTCATGCTGAGCTGTTACATATTTTTGACATATTATTTAAAAAATTACGTTAAATTGCAGTTGTTTGTAATAGGATCAGATTTATCATTAAAAAGGCTTCTCAATGTAGATATACATTGTTACACCCTAGCTTAAGGAATAAGTGTATCATTAAGTGCATCTGTAAGTGTATTATTCTATTAGAATGGGGCGTATACTGAAATTCAGACAATCTATCTATCTATCTATCTATCTAATATAAATATTTTTTGAATACTGGTTTGTATTCTATGGAGAGCCTAATTATGCAAAATTAAATCATGAAATAAATGTTGAAATATATAAATAAATCTTTAATACATAATTAATTAAATGCATAAATACCTGCATAAATAAATAAATATTATATTTATTTATTCATTAATTCATTCATTCATTTGTTTATTAATTAATTAATTAATTCATCTCTCTCTCTCTCTCTATATATATATATATATATATATATACAGTATACATATACACACACAAACACAAATTAT